ACTGAGGATCATATATTAGGGAATTATCGCTCTTGCCTTCAGATCCAGAAGTTCATCACGATCGGGGTAAGTTTGTCGTATTTTCGTTGGAGAGCTATAAGGAAAAGCGCGTTTGAGTTGTCAGTGAAAGCAACACCTGACATAGTGGATAGTGGAGAGCTGCCAATGATGGGGAGGAGAGAGACCAAAAGCTTGGGGCCAAGGACGGCGTTGGTAGAAAGTCCGGCGATGGCTGTAGAGAAGCCGTCGACCGCGTTGTTTGCAATCAGAAAGCCCGAAACTCATCAAGAAGCCCTATAGCTGGGGTGAGGCTATACGGTCTGGGCACTGTCGGCCCACGTTTCCTTGTAGCTGATTCCTGCCAGCGAAAGGACCACAAAAAGCTGAGGTACGACGCTTGCACACCAAAGGCACCTAAAGGAGAAAGTGTGGCCAGCCCCAAAAAAGCAGTTGAATACTAGGAGCTGTGTGACTGGAGCACTGAGCATGTAAACACAGTCAATGCACGTCCGAGCTATTGTCGTAGAAGACTAAGAAGATGACCAGGCGGCAGGCCACGAGAATACAGTCAAACACCTGATAACGCATAACGTGGTTCCGCGCGTCGAGGCTATGCATTATGAGATTTATGCATTAGCGTATATTAGGAATATTCATCTATTTATGGGGCCCACATATCGTCAAGAGTCATCTGGTTTGTCTCTGCAGAAAGCTGATCTCGTGTTACCTGTGCCCAAAGCTTACGCAGCTGTCCACAAAGCTCAGGTTTGTCATACTGTATACAGACGGCCTCCAACCGCGCGCACAGTAGTTTGACCTCATCCGGAGACTCGCCCGGGGGAGGTTTGTCATCGTCGTCATCCTCAGGCTCCGAGTCCGACTCCTGCGTAGGGTGAAGCTCGGACTGAAGCTCCTCAAGAATGTCGGCATCTCCACGCGGGTAAGTGAAGATGGTTTGACCAACTTCGAGTTCTTCTGGAGGATTAAGGACCTCGTCGAGGGACATGTGCTCGCCGTGGACTCGATTTTGCCTTCGGAGCTCGGAGATCGCTTGGGCAAGCTCCCTTTCAATGGTGGTCTGCTGGACGGGGGCAGGTATGCTGCCGTCTTCGTTCTCGAGGTCCGATGTTGCGGTTTTGGATCCCGATGCAAAGCCGGGCAATGCTGATGCTTCCCGTTCCCCAGTACGAAGCTGATCGATGGCCGCAAGTGCAGCTACGATATCTCCCTCTGCATCCATCACCGCCTTCAGAGCGGGCTCCCAGGCAGCCGGCGCGTATGATTCGCCGAACAAAGTCTGGAGCTCGGTTTTGGCTTGGGGGAGTGTCATGTTGGAGATTGCAAACCGTGCAACGATATCCCAAGCGGCATCAGATGCCGGGGTGTTCTTCTTGGGGATGCGGAGCTTGATGGGAGGAAGAGGAGCGCGCTGAATCTTTGTGTGATCCCAGCAGTGAGCAATAGTCTCCGGACTGACGTCCTCCCAAGCCTTTAGAGCCATGTGCATAACCTCCCGAAGATTGATCTTGAATATGTTGGCTTCCCCCGCGTCATCGAGATCTAAAGCCCGGATACAGAAAGCTATTCGGTAGTGAGCCTTGACACAGCGGATGACGCCGGCATCCAGCGGTTGTACGGCGGCAGTGAGGTTGGGTGTGAAGAATTCGATCTCGATGTTTGTTGGGATGTAATCAATGGCATGACCCGAGAAGTTGTCGATGAGGAGAATGATGTGACGGCCCTGGGAGCGCATATCGAGGTCAAAGTCCTTGATCCATCTGCGCTCGCAAGTCAGCTCCTTTGAGTGCCGGACCTGATAAGAAACGAATCACATACTCCTCGAATAGCGCAGAAGTCATCCAAGAAGACTTGTTGTTCCGGTAATAGAACCCATAGGTGCCCGGTGGCCGCTTGAAGCAGCGCGGTTTCTTCGACTTTCCAATAAACATGATTGGACGCTTTTCGGATCCGGTTGAATTACAGGCAAAGAGCAGCGTGATGCGGAACCTTTCCTTCTTCTTGCCACTCATCTGTGCCGTGGCCAGCCCACGGTCAGGAGGTGCATATGCGAACAAGCCTGTCTCATCAGCATTGAACCGGTCTTCTGGCCTGTACCGTGCAAGCTTCTCCCGCACACGAACTCTCTCCGCCTCAACCATCTCAGGATCAAGTGATCCCGCCTCTCCGTGTCTGACATGCTCCCTGATGCCATAGCTGAAGTACAACATCAATTTGAGCATAATCATCAATTTCTCTGAAGAGCACTCACGCTTTTTTGAAGGAATTGATCCATCCATGTCCATGAAGGCATTCCGATTCCGGAACATTGAGGTGCTTCTCGAAACGGGCACGCTTCTCCATCAGCATTGCGCCGGAATAGATTTCTCCCCTTTCTTCCATGCTTTTGATCCACTTGTACAGGGCTTTTTCAACGTCGGGGCGTGTCACGACGCGTGGGCGTGATGTTGCTAAAGCTCCTGGGAATGAATCTGCTCGTTCCTCCAATTGCGGACAGTTCTTCAGCTTTTGAGACAAGGTGCACTGGGAGAATTGAAGAGCTCCATCCCTTTTCTTTGAGAAATAATCTACAATCTCCTCTTGGGAGAGTGTTTTGTGGTCGTCAACATATCGGAAGACAACTTTCCAGTCGGCCAGCGTAAGGTTCTTCCTACGAGTCTTTGCAGGAGTTGCTGCTGAAGTGATGTTGCCCTGCGGCTTGGCTTTCTTGTCCTTTTTGTCATAGGGCACAGGTCTGTCACGCACTTTATGAACAGCTTCTCGAGGCATCGTAAAAAAAAAGGTGAACGCAGGCATGCCACATTACGGGTTAACGACCGACGGATTGTGCGGGCAGTGGTGAGAAATACTGACTAAGATTACTATAATTAGTTATACCTTCTCACGTGTGCTCTCCACTTATGCATAAATCCGACGTCAACCCTATGCATTATGCATTTATGCAGTATCCCCCTAGCTCCCCGCAAACCACGGTGGTTCGAGCCGAAACCCTATGCATTATGAGAATTATGCATTATGTGGCTATGCATTATGAGGTGTTCGACTGTACAGGGCCATTGCTTGATTCGGCGGCAGAGGAAATGAAGAACACCCACCTTGCTTTCAGGATAATTACCGCACTGGACTGTTTCTTAGTGTAAGGAATACATAGAAATATCAACGCGAATCGTGCAGGAAGTAAACTCGAGTGGTAGGTAGCTTTTTCAAGCCCAAGCAGGGATGACCTTGAAGCCGGAGTCGTCACCGGTGCCGAATCCAATGAGCACGTGATGCGAGCCGGCAGAAAACACGCGCTACATACTTCCTCGAAAGACGCGCTGCAGCTCAAGCCGGTGGGCATCCGACCAGTCCACCTTTACCGAAACTTCATCACGCTCAACACTCCGAATACTTGGGAAACTCACGATAACTGTATTTCTTGTCTTAAACTGCCTTGCTGAGAACGATTTGTCACCGCGGGCCACCCGTCGGCGAAGATAGACACGATTTAACGAACTCGATACGACAAAGAACGGGACACCGACGAACTTGCGCAGGAAACTGCCTATAACTGTATCGCCATGGCGCAGAAGTGGGATGTGCTCAGCCGGCGTGGCATTGACCTCGCCGCGAGCGCTGCATCCGTAGGCTTCACCGCCGCGAAGTATGGCACGCAACTCGGCGTAAGTCCTTATCGTGTATTCTGCGATCGAACGTAGCTCTGACATGCTCACTTGTCCCGTTGACCCTGTCATTTCCTTTCGTAGTTCTCAGTGACTCGCACAGTAGCCACCACCGCCGCCTCCCTCACCGGCGGCGCGCTCGACCTCGTCCTCTTCGCGGGCACGCCCTCCGCAGGCCCCGCGCTCTCCTCCGCATTAGACTCTGCCCTTGGATTCGCCGAAAGCCTCGCACTCCTCCCAATCCTCATTGGCGAGAGCGTCACCTCGACCTCTCTCGTCGCCGCACACTCATCCGTGAACGTCCTCGCCGCGCTCTTCCCCGGCTCAGACGAGGCGAGCTTCAGCCTCGCGAGCTTTGTGACGCTCGTCAGGCGGCACTGGGCGGCGGAGGACGCGAAAAATATGCACCTGCCTGAGGAATCGTACGGCATGGGCGAGGTCGCGGCTGCGCTCGTCGCGTGGGGCGCGCTCCAGGGCGTCACGGCCGAGTGGGCGGAGAAACGCTGGATGAGCGCGATGCGCGAGATCCACGTGGCCAACGAGCCCCACAACGACGAGTTTAAGCGGGAGCGGCGGGAGTCGAGGATCCGCGTCAACTCGAACGCGAGGATGCCGGGTAGCGCGGGGCACCTCATCACCGCCGACATCGGGGATGCGCCGACGAGCGACGGGGAAGAGTCGCCCGGGTATATGCCGGGAGGTATGCCAGCGCCGTTCCGCATGCCCGTTCGGGTCGCATCGGGCCCGCACGTCCGCTTCTCTGGAGTGCCGCCGTCGCCGACGACGCCTTCGTCGAGTTCTGCGCCGAGCGACGTATCATGGACTACTACCGATGAGCCCCACCCGATGCCATCCCCGCGCCGCATGACCAACGACGAGCTCAAGTCGACCCTCCGCCGATTGTCCAAGCTCGTCCTCGCCGGGTATGGCGGCGCATCTCTGCTTTTCTTCGGTGTTTCGCCCGTCCCTCCGGCCCCTTCGTCAAGTGCTAGCACGAGCACCGCCCTAACTCGAACGCCGATCACGGCCGGGCCACGCTTGGACCCCTCATCCACGCGCGAAGAAGCCGACTTGGCCAGCGCGCTGGAAGCAAGCGAAGCCGAAGCCCGCGGATCCTCCCAGCATGCGTCGAACTCGGGCGCAACGGCCGGGCAGAACCCGTACTCGTGGTGGAACATCCTTCTTGGTCGACACGATCACGATATCTTTCGCGCATACGCCGATGCGCCCATCGAGCGCGCTCAGCAAGATATCCGCGACGCGAACGCCAGCGCCGGCACGAATGGAGAGGGTAGGGAGAGGAGCAGGACGATGTCGGTGGTGGCGGGCCAGGAACGGCTGATCCCGAGGTTCTGGGTGCTGAAGGACCATGCGAGAAAACAGGTTGTCCTGGTTATCCGAGGTAGGCCATCATATCCATCGTATTGAATGTATTACTCATCGTTGGTTGATTAGGGACCATGTCGCTCAATGAGCTGGCGGTCGACCTCACATGCGAGCCTGACGACTTCGTCCCCGCGTCCTCGGACGACTCGGACGCGGTGAAACGTCCTAGGAAGCCACAAGCCGCTCATCCAGAAGCCTCTGGCAGTCAAGATACAGATCAAGACGACGCGTCAGGCGAGATGCCGGGGTTCTTGGCCTCGCCTTCTCGGCCGCAACGGACGCAAACGATCCCCGTCCCAACCGAGTTCTCCGCGCCCAAGCCACGCCTCAGAAAAGCGCGTTCTGCCACTCTACCCACGCCTTCCGTTCTGCACGAGCCCAAGAAGTACAAAGTGCACGGCGGGATGCTGCGCATGATGCGTGCGATGGGCAGACACGGCAAACCGGTACACGTCGCCGTACGCGATGCGTTGCGGAAGAACAAGGGGTACGAGCTCGTGCTGTGCGGGCACAGTCTCGGCGCCGGCGTCGCTGCGCTTCTCGGTCTCGTAAGTTTTTCACACCTCTGCCTTCCGCGATCGAATCGTTAACTAAACGCGCGCGCGTAGTCCTGGGCAGACCCGAAGACTTGCCTCACAGTCCGCTCGAGCGGCCTCCCGGTCGGGAGAAGGGTGTCGGTCTACTGCTTCGCGCCGCCGTGCTTGACGGACGAGGCGCTCACGGTGCTCGCTGCGGACATGGTCACGTCCTTCGTGTACTCGCACGACGTGGTATCCAGGCTGTCGTTAGGCTCGATCTGCGACATCCGGAACGCGGCGATGTGGTTGTGCGATGCGCAGAGTCGCGCTTCGTCCTCCAAGAAGGGTCGGGGGAAAGGGCACGAGCAAACAAACAACGTCGGGCAGAGGGACACGAAGGGAAAGGGCAGGGAGAAAGAAGCGGGGAGTCTCGCGCCGGAGGTGAAGGAGAGCATGGGCGAGGGCTACAAGCGCGTCACGAAGCGTGCGCTCAGATTCCGCGCGGGCATAGGCAGCGCCGAGGACGCGGACTGGTTCCTAGCGATCCGGAAGACGCTCGAGGCGAACATGCAGCACGCAGACCTGTTTCCGCCCGGGCGAACCTGGTGGGCTATCCGGGACGGGGACCTCCACCCGAGCAATCGCTCAACGTCGCCGGCCGGGACGGGACAACATGCTGGGGAGAAAGTCCGGCTTTTCGAAGTGTTGGATGCGAGGAAGGTGTTTGGGCAAATTGTATTTGCCAAGGACATGCTCAGGTACGTCCATGCGGAACGATGTGATCTGATACGTCCTGAAAGCGCGTTCTGTGTCATCTTCACAGCTCGCACCTACCTCATCAGTACGACAGGGTGCTACACGAATTGTTGTAAGATTATCGGTCCGCAAAGGTGTGCGATAGATTTTAGACCCATAGACTCATAGACATTATGCGCCATTTTCCTCGTTATCGGCTCATCCATCTGTAGACTCGTCATTCTCCGTACTGTAGTGTTTGGGAACTGTATCATACCTACTCTGGAATCATATTCGCGAACTGCGCCCGAAGAAGTAGCAACTTATCGATCGAGGACCCCCCTGTTCGCGCTTGTGCGCCCACGGGATGAGTGGGTCGTTCGGGGTACACACTCCTGTATGTCGGATACCGCCTGAGCGCATGCGGCCGGTGGCTGCTTGGCCGCATGCATCGACCAGCGCGGGGAGGTGCACGACGTTGGAGTATGGCTCACTCCCGGCGAGAATGTAAAGACGCAACTCGTGTGTCAGCTCTGGTCTTTTGCGGCCGGTTTTCGCTGGAGAGCAAACGTCGAGTGGAGGCTCGCTTTCTGCAAGCTTGGGGCATTGGGCTCGATGGTCGTTACTCTCTCCGCCATTTCCACCGGTTGTCAAACCCGCTTACGCTTTCCTCTCGCTAGCTTGGGTCACTCATCTGCAGATCGTCGTGCCAGCGTGCACCGAGTTGCACATTGTGCACGTCACCCTCCTGTGCGTGAACCTTGACTGTGGGCTCGTGGACCATCCTTCCCGCGGATGCGCGACGGAAGTTCATGGCCCGGGCCAGCGCGAACGACGTCTTCGAGGGCGTCTACATCGATGTCTCCGAGTCCACCTACTTCCTTACCCAGTCTCAGGTGAAGCTTATCTTGCCCCCAACTTTGACCGACTCTCCGGCGCCTCTCGGCGCCCAGCACGCCTTAGTCCGCGATAGCAATCCGGGTACCGCCTCCGTAGGTCCACCTCCTTTCCCGTCCCCATCCGCGTCGGTTGCCCACACCAAACGAGCTCGGTCTACTACCCCTCGCCACTACGTACCGCGCTCCTGCACGTCTCGCCTACCCGCACGAGCATGTTTCGCCTGCCCAATGCCCATGCAATATTCCGGCTTGCCCCTCATTCGTTCTATCCTGTCGCCTTTTGATCTTGCCTCCTGTTTTCCTCCATTCTGGTCTGGGTCTCGTGTCCGTGCTGTCTGCCCTGCTTGTCCACATACCTGGAAACCGCCACACACGAAATAGAGAGGAGAAGCAGAAGTTGTCTGCTCACGTACGACCCCCTTGTAATACTGGCGCACCGGTCATCCCCGAGACACGCTTAGGCAACAGATCGAACAGAGTGGAATTAAGATGTGGAGCAATGTCGTGCTAGATAACAAGGGGCATTAGAGGACTACGCAGTTTCATGTGATCCTACGCCATCAGTTGGTTGATCGGAACCTTTTGCATCAGGGGCCCTACAGAGCAGATGAGCAATGAAATCCTGCAAGAGTGAGACTCTTACCGCAGTGTTCTGCATCTCAAGCAGGAGTTTCGAACAATACTCTGTGTTACCCTTCTCTCCAATCTCCTCCAGCAGCGATCGAGCGGCCTCGATGTTTTCGACGGCCTCAGTGAAGTTTTGTGAATCACGGTCAAGCAGGCCCATGGAAATACGACACCACGCAATCTCGTAGCGATCTCCAATGTCTGTAGCAAGTTGGAGGGCATTGTTAATATTACTTCTGGCCGCATGATATTGGTGATTGATTCTGTAGATGTCGCCCAAGCTTTGCTGGCATTGCGCTGCCCCGAGCCGGTCTCC